GGGGCCAATAATCCTAAAAATTAACAGTTGCTGTTTCCATGTACAGTGTAGTTGTATATCAAGAAACTGTTTTTCGCAAGTTTGACAATCCAGAACAATGTGTGATGTCTTTCGTTTCCCTTGAGAGACGTTTGATTAAACTAGTAACGAAATTATGGAATCAATTGATATTTAATTAATGTAGCTCAATGAAGGCTACGCATTGAAAAGCTAGACAATCAATGAAGTCAAATATTGATTAAATTATGCTGACTCTAAACTTTGATAAAAAACAGCAGGCGACTCAAGTATTCTGAAGAAGAGATCCACAGCTTTTCTATAAAAAAGCCCTTTGAACGACACCAGTTACCTTTAGAAGCATCAACGACTGCTGTAAAATAGAGCCTAATAAAAAGTTTTTTTTCAAACTATTTAGCATAAGCATTACAAGCTATTAAAATATCAGTAACCTGGAGGATTCATTAAATGTTTGCAGTTGTTAGAACAGTTATCGTACTAAGAAGTTGCTTAAGGTCGAAATTGCTTCTTGTGCAAAAGTACATGCATTGCGTAACATGCATATCCATGTTGAAGAAACTATAAAAGATATAACTGAGTATGTCAATGATATATTTTGTTATTTAATTTAAAGTAAATATTTATCGTATTTACGCTTGCGATTAGCAATCGTTATCAAATTGGAATAAAGGTTTTTTTTGGGTTAATAATTTGTTTAAAAATCACTTGAATCATTTGCAAGGTGGTATAATCACTTACAGTGGTACTTCGGTGATATAATCATTTCTTCTGACCTGCTCATCTTCTTCAAAATCAAATTTAACTACTGGCCACCAAGAACTACTGGTAATGGATATATCTAGAACTCTAACCAAAGTATTTATAGTTATTACCCTTGCGATAAGCGAGGGTATTGCAATCGGATACTAGACTTTTTAGGGCTTTTTCCTTTTAGGTTTTTAGGAATTTTTTGTCCTTTTTGCAATTTTTTAGTTTCGACAAAAAGGGATTTTCTAGGTTTTTTTTTTAAATTTTTTATTTATCTTTTCATTTGCTGGTAATCATAGTCATACCTTTTTGTATCGCAATTGGTGCGAAGCTCCGTTTCGCCTCTGTGTTATAAATTTAAATTCAATCAAACGATCCGATGCATCTGGCGTAGAGGTGATACATTTGCTTAAACGGCTAAGGCCTTGGGTTTGAATCCGGCCGGGACCTATTTTCGTTGCTAACTTGAGTTTATTGCGTTTTCGGACTATCGTTCGTCTATTTATTTTTTTCTGCTTAGTTGTTGTAGTCCGATTTTTTTTTGATGTTGCAGCTTTTTCTCAAGTGCTGTAACACCCATGCTTGACGACAAAACCCGGCTGTTCGAATCTAGTCGGGACTTGAAAAATTGGTAGTTTTGATTTTTGGCTGTCTGCTTATTTTTGCCGGCTTAGTTCCCGCAGAAAGGAATTTTTCAGCTGTTTTCTAGCATTTCGAAAGCTCCTTTTAATGTTTTTTCTGGTGCCTGTAATTTTTTCCGGACATTTCGGGCTTTTTTGCAAGTTTTTTAAATTTTTATGACAAAAAATTTTTTATAGATTTTTATGACCAAAACAATTTTTAATTTTTATTTCAGTTTTTGATTTTTCTGGCATCTGATTTTAATCACGGTTATTTTTTTGTATTACAGGTTTTGCGCAGCTCAGCTTCGCCTCTGTGTAAAGTTGAGGTTTGAATTTTTTTTCGCGGGTGGTTTTCCGGTTTAATGCTTTTCGACTCAAGCTCCTAGTAGCTAAAAGCGGATTTACGGGGACTTTTCAACTTTGTTAAATTTGCGAGAGCAAGTGTCTTGTAATTTGGAATTAAATTTTTTCCCGCAAGCAATTTTGGCTTTTTTCCACTTTCTTCTCCCTCATTTGAAAGTCAGATTTCATCCATTTTGACGTTGTCATAACGTTGAAATTTTAGATGGTGAACAACTTAACTTCTGTGAACACATTTTTTTCTCCATGCCTTACATCGTAACATCGCGCATGCAGCCATAATAACACCTAAGAAATAGAAATTTTTTATGTTGTAGGAGTTGAGAAGAGCCGCAACTTTTTAAACTAAATTGTAAGAAATTGAGCTTGCTTTATTTGTGATCCTTTATAAGTTAAGACAATGCTGTTGCCTTGGCACTTTGGCCTGGAGTCCGAGTCCCGGTCGGGCCTTGTTTGTTTTCATTTTATAATTTAAGAATCTGAAAGTTTTTTTCCGGCAAAAATTGCATTGTCAGCCTATTGGTTATCTGCTTATGTTTTCTCGGCTTAGTTGACCCATCATTCATTTTTTGTGCTGAGAGCACTTTTCCCTGTAATTGCAAGTTTTTTCAATTTTTTTGTTGCGTAAAGTTTACTAACCTGGCTTTGCGTGCTGTACTTTTTTACTTGAAAGGTACATTTTGTTTCAATGTTAATTACACAAGCACAGCTTGTGTTATAGTATGAACTCTCTTTTTTTCCAAGCTGAGTCGCAAATATTGTTGCGACAAAATGTGTTCTTTTTGAAGATGTTCATTTTGATCACTAACCAGCTACTAAGTACAGCTAATGCTAGGGATCTTAAATCAAGCTATTAAATTACAAATTCTTATTTGATAAACACAGGAATTACGAAAATGCATGGGATCGGTTGTTTTTTTTTTTGTTTTTTTTTGAGACGCTTTGGAAAGTTTTCGTTTTTCTCAAAAACTTTTCTACCGATTTTCAAAAGAGTGGTATCAATTCCGGCTACTCTTCTGTGTGCCTGCTTACTCCACTAGTGTCTTTTTACCTTAGCTCATTTTCTACAGCCTTCGAAAAAATGTGTGGAGGAATTTTTGACCCAACTTTTTGGATTTTTTACATTTTCTCGAAAACTACCCACCTAAATCTGATATTTTATATTTTTGGTTCAATTGAAAAAACAGGTTGTGGAAAGCTCCCCTGCATAAGCGGCTTGCCCGAATTTTCTTACACAAAAGATTATGGCCCTCAAAATAGTCTTTTTTCCTTTTTTTTATAAAACATTTTTCGATTTTTTTTTACTTTTCTCGAAAACCACACTTTAAATATGAGATTTTAGTTCTAATCGAACGGAACGGTTGTGAGGGGCTACTCTGCCTTAGTGGCTTAGCTCTACTTTTTTCACACAAAAAGTTACGACCCTCAGAAAAGTTAAATTTACGATTTTTTAACCGTTGTTTGAAACTTATCGAGTTTTCTCGACAACCCACGCTCCCAAATCTGAGGTTTTTGATTTCAGTAAGTAGAATGGGTTGTGGGAGGCTCTGCTGCATAAAGGTTTACAACTAGTTTTTTTACACAATAGTTATGACCCTCCAAAAAGTCAAATTTTCGATTTTTTGACCGTTTTTTCAATCTTTTTGACTTTTCTCGAAAACTACCTTTGCCAATCTGAGATTTTGGTTTCAATAGGTAGAACGGAATGTGAAAAGCTCCTCTTCATAACTATCTAAGCCCAAATTCTTTTACACAAAAATCTTATGACCCTCGGAAAAGTCAATTTTCGACTGTTTTTTGAATCTTCTTGACTTTTCTCAAAAACTACCCTCCCGAATCTGAGATATTGGTTTCAGTGCGAAAAACGGATTGTGGGAAGCTCCAACTCATAGGTGGTTACGCTCAGTTTTTATTACACAACTGATTATGATGACCCTCGGTAAAAAAAATTAGCAGTTTTTCCAAAGTGAAAAAACTCTTTTTAGCAGTTTTTCTTCTAATTGTCTTGAAAACTACCATCCGAAACCTGAAATTTTGTGTTCAATGAAGAGAGAAAGGGTTGAGCGAAGCTCGTCTGTGTAAGCTTTCTCGTTCAGTTTTTCTTTTAAGTTATGTCCACAAAAAAGTTATGTCCTTCAGAAACGTCAATGTTTTTATGTCTTGTCCGTTTTTTTTTAAACTTGTGATATCTCGAAAACCTGTACGAGATCCAGTATCATGTTTTTAGCAGTTTTTCTTCCAATTGTCTTGAAAACTACCATCCGAAACCTGAAATTTTGGGTTCATTGAAGAGAGAAAGGGTTGAGCGAAGCTCGTCTGTGTAAGCGCTCTCGTACAGTTTTTCTAACACAAAAAAGTTACGGCCTTCAGAAACGTCAATGTTTTTATTTCTTATCCATTTTTTTCAACTTGTGATTTCTCGAAAATATTTCAATCTGATATCAAAGGTTTTACAAGGCAACAGGTTGTAAGAAGCCTCCCTGCATAAACTGCTACGCATTTAAGTTTGAACAAGAAACATGTTTCTGGGAAATTTCCAAAACTACAAAATTTTTCACTCATTTTTATGAGAACAACAAGCAAGGTTTTGGGCGAAACCCAATGCTAAATTTTTCATGGATCTATAGGATCCACTATCACGGATCCAGTATCATGGATATGTAGCGTAGAGGTAGGGAAGGAGACCCGCAACGAAATAAGAGGGTTCCAACCTGGGTAGGGTTGCATGTTTTAAGGAACTTTTTCGTATACTAGTTAAATTGAGTCCGCTCTATAAATTGAGGCATGTTAGTTAGGAGTTTTGTTAAAAAATTGACTGTATTGCTAATGCGCCATAATTGGCTTGCGTTACTTGCAAATTATGCAAATTGCAAATTATGTAGACTCGAAGTTTTACTCATTTAGTTTTTCCCGTAGAGTTATCGGTCAAATTTTGGCTTGTGTATGCCAAGTGCAACTTCGCCTCTGTGTTTAACCTTGTCCCCGGTATTTCATTCGAAACAAAACCGCCAAGCATTAGAAGTCTTATAGGTTTTATTTTGATTTTTTTTTTCACTCTAACTTTGCAATTTCGTAGCTTTCATTATATACAGTGGTTTGCCATGCTTGTTTGTCATTCACTCAGCTTTGCCTCTTGTGTCTAATTATGCACCTTATTTTTTCTAGTGACGAGGTTTAACGAATGAAGCTAAGTAAAGAGGAGAACTGTAGAAGAGTGAACAAAAAGTAATTATTGTGTTCTTTTTCAGACTTTTGTGTTGTTTTTGAAGTGGGGATTTACCCCATTTTTCAGTAGCTTCAATCCCCATGAGGAGAAGGTTCTCAAAAATGATGATTGCTCTGATCGAGACCGGGTGCTTCAACCCCCCTACTAACATGCACTTGCGACTCCTGGAAACAGCCAAGTACTCCCTTGAACAAGCAGGTCACACAGTGAAAGTCGGGGTAATCAGTCCTGTGCACGATAAATATGGTAAGAAGAGTCTCATATCTGCCGAGCACCGGTTAGCTCTGAGTCATCTGGCTTGTAAGAGTTCAAACTGGATCAGATGCGAGGACTGGGAGTGTAAACAGGAGGGCTGGAGCAAAACTGTGGATGTTTTGGATCACTACAGTACATATCTGCAGAAAGAGTTTCCAGGTTTGAGTCGCACGAATTATACTGTGTTTAAAGAAAATCATCGTCAAATTTTATGGAAGACTTAAAAAAATTTTTGGTTGAGAAAGTCATACAAGTTAGGCTTACATAACTTAGGTTTACATACAATTAAATGCATTTAATTATCACCATAGTATTTCTTTTCTTCTGACCGAGCTTCATACCTTTAGTATTCCTTGTAAGATACTGATGGGTCGTGGCCTGAAGTAAGCTTTTTTCTAGCTAATCTGCGTTTTCAGTGGAAAATTTGTGGAATGTAGATTTAAAATTAGCAGCAAGAGTACATGGTTGATGCGAAAGGAGCGCATTTTCCCCGGTCACGTTTTTAGATTCTGTTTTCGGAAATTTAAAGGGTGCAGAAAATTTAAAAAATTACTCATTTATTATATTTTCATTTTAAAGCGTTCGGCCATAAAATCCTGAGGTGGTCAGAAGAATCAAAGCGATCTTTTACCAAGAAAGGTTTTTTAAGGAATCAACTGTCGGTTTCTGTGTGGAACAGACCTTCTGCTTTCGTTCAACACACCTAATCTCTGGTTGGACGATCACATCACGCGCATTTTAACCAATCACGGCATTGTCTGCATGGAGAGAAAAGACAACGACGCTTCCAAGCTACTCGAAACACACCCGATAGTGAATAAGTTTAGAGATAATATCATGATGGTGTCCAGTGATATTGAAAATGACATTAGCTCAACATTGGTTCGAGAATTGGTAGCGAAGGGAGGCTCAGCTAAGTATTTAGTCCCAGAAGAAGTCAATGATTACATAATCGAGAACAAATTGTACAAAAACTCTTAATGTTAACAATAGTTAGAAGCAGTAAATTTGAAAAATATTTTTTTAAGTGTAGCAGTTTTTAGTCACTTGCACTGTGATAGTTCTCGAAAAAATTCGAAATCATTCAAAGTTTTTTTCCCGCTGAAATATAACTTTCAAAAGGTGAATACTAAAATTTTTTTGTATTTAATTGGCTGAAACTTTTCAGAACATCATGAAATATAAAAGGCAGAAAAAGTTAAAATCAATTCTGAAAAATTTTAAGTTGATTGGTTTCGAACCGCCCTATAAGGTAATCTTAGATGGTACCTTGACTATGGCTGCTTTGACTCATAAAGTGAATCTAGCCGAACAAATTCCGTCCTACTTTGGGCTAGGTGATTCAGCGAGTGCCGACCAAATAGAACTGTGTACTACTAAATGTGTAATTAAAGAGTTGGAGAAACTCGGATCCTATTTCTTTGGTGCTCTGCATATTTTGAAACAGTTCAAAGTCGTCAAGTGTGCTCATAGCAGGAAGAAAATCAAACTGCCTGTGAATTGTTTGAAGTCGTTGGCTGAAGGCGACGAGAAATACATTTTTGCCACCCAAGATATGGTAAGCTCGCCCTATTTTTTGTTTAATTTCAATTGTTTTGATTTATGGTTTCATATTGTGGACATATTTATACGATTGAATAGAAACTGGAAATTAATTTAATTTGAAAATAATAAGGAACCCAACGTTAAAGTGTGTCTAAATTTGACTGTGTCAATGCAGCTGTACCTTTTTACCCAAATTTTTGTCGCAATGTTAATTATAATAGTGTTCATTTAAATAAATCCTAATCTGGTATATATTTAAAGTGTTGCACAAATTGTTTCATTTTTCAATTTAAGTCGCATTGAATTGCATTTGTGTATAGGTTGTCCAAGAAAATGTGGAAAGTTGCAAACTGCCATTGCTGTACCTCCACAATGCAACTCTGGTGCTAAAGAAACCCTCTTTTCTTACAGACGTCAAAGCAACCACTACTAAAGTGAAACTAGAATCAACTGAAAAAGAACATCTGAGCATTTTAAAGAAAAAAGAAGGCTTGGACGACAAACCAATTATTAATCCTTTCCTGGAAAAGAGGAAAGAAAAATTAATGAAGAAAATTGAACAGCGGAAACTGGAGAGGGTGCAGGCAAAAGAACAAAAATTGAAAAGAAAGTCCAAAGTTACCGGGAAAAAGGAAAGGAAAATGGAACAAGACTCAAAATCAAGATGTCGTAATAGACGCAAAAGACATGTTCCGAAAAACATTGGATCCGATGTGGCAACTACTGCGAGCGATTGAATTGATTTTACCAATTTATCAGTTTTTTCTTTGCAAGAGTGTCGTATTTGGCTTCGATAAAGCAAAGCAATTTGACCTATATAGCCATTTCAAACTTTTTAATGTATTTCTTAGAAAACGAGTTCGAAAACAAGTGCTTCTCAATTGTTGAGTTTAATATTGTTACAGGAATGCTCCTAATTCTCATTCGGATTAGTTACTCATCCTTCTTTACGAACGATCAATTCAATTCTGCTTAAATGTGATATACACATAGAATTATGTTCATAGTATAAATATTACTATTGAACATTGAAATTACTTTTTTTGCCGATGAGTTATTCGGCTTCCTGATTTTCAATTGAAGCTCTGTCGGACTAATATTCTAATGCCAAATTCTATTTCTGAATGCGTGTGCTAATTCAATGACTTATGTAGGATCGTTCTAATATTCTAATGCCAAATTCTATTTCTGAATGCGTGGGCTAATTCAATGACTTATATAGGATCGTTGTAAGTTTTTTGGAATCTGTATTTAGTCGTGTTCTCTTAAGTTGTTATACTTTTGCGACAAAAAAGCACAATGTACATAAACAAATACTTAAATTGCTCGTCTTGTGTTACAGATAGAATAACGGAACAAAAAACATCGAAAAGGTCTAATACTTGGTTATTTCACCCCTCATCTTCAATACTTCAGCCATGCGCCGAGGCAAGGAATCATGCAGTTTGTTAATGGCATCTTGAGTAATCAGATTCCAGTGTTTTTCTATTTCTTCATACAACTGGTCTCTAGATCGAAATTCGATATTGCTATGTTTTAGAGATTTCTTCAGCATCTTCCACAGATTTTCGATGATATTGATGTCGGGTGATTAAGGGGGCCATGTAGTCGTTACGGTGTCTTTTTCTGTGAAAAACGTATTCATTAAATTTGAAACATGGCATGGGGCGTTGTCATGTTGGAATACATACTGTGCACAGTCATACGAGAAATCCCTAAGGCTTCTGGCCATTTTCTTTCAGCTGTATAATCCGATTTCTTAACAGAATTGGGGTTTCCGGTGCCATCAGAAAATAATACAATAAAGGTTCACACCATTGTGAACAAACATTGTGAACAAACGTTCACGCCGGACATACTATCGTGTGAAAATGCAAGTGTAATCTACTTGCCATGAATCACGACGTTGGGTTAATTTAATCAAAAGATATAGCCCATTTAGTGCATTAAACTTCGTTGAAAATTTGAACAAAAAACAAAGTGTAACAACTTGAGAGAACACGACTGTTGTCGTAGATAGCTTGCTTGGTCTCCAAAGGTGTGGAGCTTGTATTTTCCGCTATGCTAATGTTTTGGTCTATCTCCTTTTTCGTCTTGTTGTCTTCGCCTCTGATTTTTTTGGCTTCGTTACCGTGCGGTTTTGTTTTCAAATTACCATAATCTGTAGTTCAGACTTTCGCATAGGTCGAGATGATTTTTTTCTGAAAAAGTCTTAAAGTTTGTTTAGGCTCAAATTTAATTTTTTGCGGGTTGATTTTCGATTTACTTATTACATCAGTTCATTTCCTTTGTTGGAAGAAGAAAAACTCCACAATCGAACAGCGAAGTTGTAAAGTTCCCGAAAAAACATGATCGGCTTCTAGTTTCGAAAATGGAATTATGTTTTCAGATTTCCCAGCGAAAAAAAATTATCTATTGATCCAGTTTTCTCAAGTTTTCGAAGTAGTTTTTTAGATTCTTCAGCGTTTTCGGAAACCTGTCACTTTTTTGAAGTCTCTTTGATTCTTGAAAGTTTTAGTGAGGCTGTTAAAACGAATCGCCAAGACTTTTGTGAGGAGACTCTCTCAATCTGCTCAGAAGTATCTACAAGAGTCCAAAATTAAGTAGAAAAATAATAATAAATTCCTTCAATTTAGTATAATAATTATAATCATAATAAATTATTTTCAAGTTGTTATGCAACAATCAAAGTTCAATTTATACATTGATGAAGCACCATGTTGGGAGATAATCTGGAGATCTGTTGAGTGACGTATCCTCCTGGTAGTTTATCAATAACAGTCCTTTTTCATATTAAGATCTTATTTTATTTTCCAGAAAAAACTATACATTTACAAAGACAAGCATAGGATAACGGTATCAGTTGATCTGCTGATATCTGCCGTAAAATTTTTTAAGCATTGCTATTGCATTCGGGTGTTTTTTGCCACAAAAAATTTTTTTGATGGGACCAAATAATTTATCACAATACAGCCTTTTCAGTGATGATTTTAAAACTCTAATTGAAAAATGTTTAGAAAAAGTTCATGTTCTTTCAAGTTGAACTGCAGTACGCAAAATTTCTGCTTATTGTTTTTGTTTTATAATTACTGTTTAGTTTTCTTATTTCATAATTAACATTGTGCTATATTTCAGAAACAAGATTTTTTTTAACTAACACCTTCTCACCTATTTCGATTTTTAGCAGTTCAGCTTTGATTGCCGCAAGTTGAAGAAGTTGATATAAAACCAATATTCAGAGAGGAATTTCATTTAAATTAATAGTTTACATTCGAAGAGAGAGTAATCTTCCATTGAACTGCAACACCAAATACTTATGGCTGCAACGCTAAAGCAAATTTATTGGTATCGATGGTTAAATAAAATCGAGACCATTTGTCAGCGAAATGCATGCATATTTAAAGCTTTTTCAATCCGAAATCTGAATGAATTACAACCTAAGATCTTTTCCATGGCCCAGCCTAATGTCAATGACAGATTGTTTTGAATTTCTTTCGTTATATCTATTACCAGCTCTTACACATTCTAGCCACAGCAGCAAAATATAATCCCCTTTTTTGCAAACACAGTGTGTTGGTGTATAGTTTTATTTACTAGGCATTGGGATAGGGCGGTACATTAAAAATGTTCTTAAATTCTTTCATTTTGATTTGGTGAGGCCAAATGAACTATCAATTGAGTTAGGAAGATTAAAATGAACCATCAATCAATACGATACAAGCTGTTGAAAACGACCGAGCTGGGTCCATTGATTTACTGAAATCTTTTTTTATTCAACTAGTGATATGCTGGACCCCTATCATGTATTAACACTGGCTGCTTGAACTGTGTGCAATTCAGTACGAGTCATCGAAACAAATTGAACCGTTTTTGAAGTTTTTTTGCTTGATAGGTTGCTTTAAAAAATTTTAATGAATCAATTCAAAATATCAAAAATTTCAAAATGTTGTTTTTGTATCTTGAATAGCTTGCGACAGAAAAAAAGATGTTCTGCGAAACATGTCATGGCATCGAAACAGCTTGAAAAGTGTCAAAGTTTCATCGGTTGAGTATCTTGCTTCAAAAATTAATAATTGACTTCCAATTTAATCAAAGAAAGTAAATTGCGAAAAGTTTCCGTGCATGAGAGCTTGCTTCAGAAAGCTTCAAATCAAAACTTTTCAGCGAATCAATTCAAGCCTTGAGGTTTTTGCTTGTTAATTTGCTAAATCAATCTTCAACTTTTCAAATCAGTTCACGATTTTAAGAAAATCTAACTTGTTTTGTGTTTTCACCTCTTGAATTGCTTGCGACAAACCACTAACTCTTCGCGTATCAGTTCAAGCTATCAAATGAAGTTGAAATGTGTCAAAGTCTCATCGATTGATCAGATTAAATGACAAAGTTGAGGTTATTGCAAATCTTTTTAAGGTATCCAGTTCACTTGAGAACTTTTATCCCTTGAGTATCTGGCTTCAAAAAACTTGCTTCAAAATTCCCAAGCTGGAGTATCTAGCTTCAAAATTCCATAGCTTGAGTATCTAGCTTCAAAAAATGAATTTAATCCCTAAAAACAAAGTTTTTCAGTTTGATCAAAAAATAGCTGACCTTTAATTGTGTGCCTGAATGGGTTCAATGCTTTTCAATACAAACAAATTGAATGGGTTCAAAACTTTCGTGACTGAATTCAAGCTATCATAACAACTTGCAGTGTTGCGAATTTCCATTGACTTAAAACTTGGTTGAACAAAAATGTTTTTTTTTTTGCGAAACGATTCAATCAATCGGAAGAACTTGACATTTAAAGTTTCACCACTCGAATAGTTTATTTCAACAGTCTATAACTTTCTGCGGCTAGCTATTAAACATACTTCATAGTTTGATAGCTTGCTTTAAAAATAGCGAACCACTTCTTTGCGAACCTTTTCAGGACAGTGAAAAATTTCTAAACATTACCAGTACAACGCTTGAAGCCTGCTTAAGAAACTTTCAATTAGTCGCTCATAGGTTTAGTCGTTGAAAACAAGTGGCTTGATTCGCAAAATTTGATTGTTTGAAGTAAGCCTATCAAGCAATGGAAACTTGAACGATCCAAACTTCCTGCAACGGCTCCAAAAAAGTTATCACGCGATTCTGAAACTTATCACGCGATTCAACGATAAAATTTTTCAAGTTTTTTTTCTGGCTTGAGTTGGTCCGCGAAAATTTATATTTTTCAAGAATCTTTAACCAACGCTAACTTTCCAATTTTTCACGTAGATGATGCAAATATGGAACATTGAACCCATTCACGAATTCATTCACAACTTGAACTCATTCACAAAAGAAGTCTTACGCGAGCCATTCAAGCGAGGAAAATTAGAAACATTTCAATCAGCGATGAAACTTTGAAGCATTTCGATTGTTCTTAACTCCCAAGTTTCATCATTTGAAGTTTTATTCAGGTTTTTTGAAAATGATTGCTTGTTTTAAGAACAACTTAAACTGTTGCATATTTGCATCTTGCTTGAAAGTTACAAACATTTGTTTTGCTCATAGCTTCCTTTAAAAAACCTATTTTTTGCCGAGCAGTTCAAGCCAGCATAGAATTTGCGAAACTTTATTTTACCGTGTGATAGGTTGCTTCAAAAAGATTGTTTTTTCGGAACCATTGCAAGCTATGGAAGCAACTAAGTAGTTCAATTTTCCCTTTCTTAAAAAGCATAATTCAAAAAGAAAGGCCCGAAAACTGCATGCATGCTGAATTCTGTCTACAAAG